ACTAGTCAATTAGGGAAGCTACTCTGCAAGAAAACTTTGGACCTTGTCATAGCCCCAAATTCTAATGCGTGCTAACAACAAAAGATTCCAAGAGCCTCATTTTGTGACATTCAGTCATGGGTGTTCTCAGGTGATAATTTATTTGTACTTTCACTGATAGTTTTCTCATAAGCCTGGGAAGGAAGGACAGGAAAACAGTATCCAAGGCAATTTCTAACTGCCTGTCTCATCCACGCCTCCCCCCACCTACACATTTTCTCTGAAAGAGAAATAAAACTTCTTGCTCACCAAAGGGGCACATTTGGGAAGAGGGAAGTGATGGCAAGGAAAAGACAGGAAAAGAGGGACAGGACAGGTAGTCAATGCTCAACAACCATACAATCACTACCAGCAAGTTTCCTTTCAAAAGTATCAGTTGTCTTCTTAGACAGCTGACATGAGGGAGTGGTTAGTGTTTCAATGCCTTTTGATGGTATTCTAGGATATGTACACAGAGAGCCTACTGGGTTTTCTTTGGGTGAACACTATGAAAGAGAATAAAAGTAGGTAATTCAAAAAATTGAAAGAAAAAAGGAAATAATTTTGAATTGACATAGGGTATAATGTATGTCTCTTAGCATTGATCAATTTGAGTAAAACTACTTATAAGGGAAGGCCATTTCTATACCAGTTCACATACAAGTTTTGGATGTAGATTGTGGACACAAGTAAAATGGATCACAAAAATAGAACGAGATCCCTGGCTGGGTGGCTCAGCTGGTTGGAGTGTTGTCCTGTATACCAAAATGTTGTGGGTTCAATCCCTAGTTGGGGCATGTATGAGAGGCAACCAATTGATGTTTATGTTTCTCCTGCCCTCTCTCTAAAATCAGTAAAAACATATCTTCTGGTGAGGATTAAAAAAAATTAGACTAGACTAAGTTCTTCGGAACCAATATTTTTATGAGGTATGTCTACTTATGAGGGCTGGTTCTTGGATATAAAAAGCACTGTAAATGACTCAGTCACTGCAGTGACCAAGACTCACAATTTCTCCCTAAATCTGTCCTCTCCAGTGTATGTTGGTAGTAAATAAAATAGCTGACTAGACACTTTTAAGTACTGTCTTCTATTGCTCACTGGGTAGATAGGACCAGAATCCATGGCAAGTCACCCATCTCCATTCTGTTTATATTTCTTCATGACTTTAGTGTTTGTAAAAATCATAATTTCCATAGAAAAACATGTAAAGAAACAGCACTCTGTTTTGCCAGGAGGTTTCTAGGTATTTCTCCCCGGCACTAGAGAAGCAATGCCGCTGAGCTCAGAGCCTTGAACTCATCACATCTCTTGCCACCAGCCACCTTCACCTATGTAGGTCCTGCTTGTAACCCTATGATCCCTTCTCCGCCTGGACAGTCTCTATGCAGTCTTTATGTCTACATGATCACTTCTTCTGGGACACAGTCTCTAACCACCTAATCTAAGTTCAGTGTGGTGCTCCCCATTCTCTATTGTAATTACATGCTTAGTCGTACATCTCTCCCCAAAGTCCATAAACTCAGAGATGGCTGGTCCCTGCCTGCTGTGCCCTCAGTGCCTGGCTTTGTAGTATATATACTTAGAATAAGTATTCAACAGCCACGCACCAAAGGAACCAGCACTGCTCTATGAACCTGTGAGCATTTTAAAAATGAAAGGACCAAAATGTCTTCGCGAGGACATGAACTTCTGTGCCAGCTGTGGAAATGCACCCTTAAAATCTTCCTTCCAGAGAAAAACTGCCATAAGGAGCCCTGTTAGCTGACAGCCTTCGGGATCCACCATTGTGTCCACACGGGTGGCATGCTCACTGGGCGCTCCGTCAATAACTAAACATGCAGGGGGAAGCAGGGCTGGGCCGCTCCCGCCCAACCTAAAACTTCTCTCACAGGCAGCCTTGGCTCTGCGGTTCTCCGACAGCCTGGCCAAGACTTTCTTAGAGCTGACTTCGGCCATCCTCCTGGCTCTCTTGTCCCCTCTCAGAGGTGTCAGACCTCACCCCAGCTGCTGCTGCTTCCTCTCCTCTTCATCCTTTGCAGGAAGTCCCTCCCTGCCAGAAAACTCTCCTGCACTTAAAATTCCATCACAGTATGTCTGCTTCACGGAGAACCCTAGTGACCAAATGCCAAGTATAGTTGGCTGGTACAACGAGATTACTCATTCCCATTTCAATTGAAGGAACGTGTAAGAGTCTTCCTATTAAAAAAATTTCACTTAATGAGAAATTAATATTCTAAGAATATAACTCCCAGAGCTGAAGAAATAAAAGCCAATTCTGAATCTCAACAAAAATCCATATTGATTTTTTTCTCTTTACACATCTCTATCATCACTCCCAAGCCAGAGATTCTGTGAAGGGTACGATTATTTATGTCCCATCAAATTAAGAGATCATTCGATTCCCCCACAGGGCCTTCAACTGAAAATGCTTTTATTTTCAACAACAACAGAAAATTCTTTTTTAGTTTTTTTTTTTTTTTTTTTTTAGCTCTTTCAAATATCCACTGTCCCTACCAATAATGACAGAAGTGATGAGGGTTATCAAAACGGAAGTCAGCAACAGCCAGAGCACTGAGAGCAGAACTGTTTCCAAGACATCGTCCCACTCCTTTCTCCCTCCAAATTGAGGCAGAGCCTGAGTGCCCCATGGTGTCTCCTACCCCTCTTGCAGTTTTACATTTTGATTATTTTACTTATTTCTATGCTTACTTGACTCACTTATTTGGTTAATATTCATCGAGCATCTACTATTTGCTGCACACACGTGTTCTCACCCTCAGGAAGCTTACACTTCAGTAGGTTATATATGAGCAAATAAGCAACAAGGTAATTTCAGGTACTTCTAAATGTTTTGAAGAAAGAAACCTAGGATGATGTAACAGGGAGCAAAGAGAGGGTGGGTAATTTGATAAAATGATTAAGAATGAGCTTTCTGATGAGGTGAATTCTGAACCGAGAACTGAAATAGTTAAGAGGATGACACCCTTGCTATGAGCTAAGGGTCTTCAGGAACCTTCCTGACAGCAGAACAGAAACAGCGTACGCAAAGGCTAGAAGGGGTGACACCTGGGAAGGCTGGGCAAAGAGGGAGGTAGCACTCCACCTCCCTTCCGGGGCCCCCAGGGCTGGTCTGTGTTGGTCCTGACCTGTGATCTCATAGAGAGGAGAGGCAACACTTTTGCTGAAAAAGTTAGTGAACTAACTTCGCAGGTCTCTTCTGAGTTCTCAATTACAAGATAGGGTAGAAACTGCAGCCCAGGCATCTGTCCCCCTCCCAATGCCAAGTAAAGCCTTCCTATGTATGACTGTCTCTTACAGGTAATCATAGATAAGGAGGAAAGACAGCACTGCTATGCTGCTACCCAGCTCATGAACTGAATGACTATGCAATGAGTTTACTGAGATTTAGGCGTCTGAGAGTTAAAGGAAGCCTACTGCATATCTTTAACATATTGAATCTCCTTTAGGTGTCATTGTGGAAATAAGAATACCCAGAACTACTCAAATGCCATAGCTCGTGGAGGGCTTCCTCCCTGGCTGCAGAATAGGTACCGGTTTTAAAGTTTCTAGGAATCTTTACAGTGTGTTTGTTTTAAAACAGAGAGACTAGTCTGGGGAAAGGAAGATCTATCCATCATTTACCACATTTCAAACTCCAAAACTCATAATCTTCACTAGGAACTGGAGTTTCAAGAGGAGTATGATCAATTGAGTGTTTGAGGGGATCGGAGCTCAGAATACACAACAGGTTGCCCACAACACCAGCTTTCTTTGCACTTCTGAAGCTGCCCAGAGTACAGTGCAAATTTCCCAATACCCCCAAACTCCATCCTTGCTACCAACATCAAAATGCACATGTGCAGACAGATGCAATTTTGGCAAAGGTGCCTTGTTCCCTAGGGGACCTGTCATATGACCTACTTCCCAGCTCTGTGAGGTTCCCTGAGAAGAAGCAATGGAAACTTCCTACAATAATAACCTCTATGGGGTGTTTTCAGTCACCCTCTTTTACTACTGTGACAAGGTTTACTATTGTCACCTGCTGCATGATATATAGGACCTGAAAAATTAACCCAAAATTTTACTTGATTCAACAGAACACAGACAACTGGTTTTGATTCCCTTAAAAAAAGGGAGGGGGTGTGTTTTTTTAAGTTCTGCAGAGTTGGCTAATATCTAAAGACAATTCTTCCAGAAAGGTGTGAAGACATTTAATCACAGCTGTGGAGATGAAAGGGAGATTTATTATAATTACTAATGCTATTTCTGTCAATGTCTTTGAAATTCTAAGTAGATTACTAAACCTTTGCAAATCATTGTATTACATCTAGACTCCACCCCTCTCTGCAACAATTTTGAAATTAGAGGATCCTGATGTCATAGGTAATGATGCATTACTGATAATAAAGTTGCAGGAAAGTTTCTACAATCAAAACCAGTTGGGAAAGACAGAACCCATTTATCTTACTTCTTCTCCCAGTTTTATGCCTGAGGATAAGATGTCTGCTGCACAGAACAATGGCGGAGACTTTTCCACTCACAGAGCAGATGATGCTTGCTCACATGCAGCAAAATTTAATGACTTATCACAGCTACTTAAATTTTTTCCCTCAATCTGAGGCAAATCAAGAAATTTATAAATTAAAGGACACTTGAAAAACTATTTTCTGAAGAGATATGAGACAAGTGGCAGGTTCAATGCATATGAATGGTACATCTTAGAGCATTTTGATTTATGACATAGGCATTCAAAGTGATACCTGAAAAGAAATAAATTGCTTACAGTTAACCTAGATCCATTTGTAGGTAATAAATGGGTGTGCTCTTTACCCATCAAATAATGGCTCTAATGCCCTTCAACCATCAGTGGATGAGGAATGAGTGTCACCCTATGTCCGCTGCAAGATAACCCCATTTCTTTAGGTAGAGATCTTAGCCCTTCACCTCCCAGCAAAAAGAAGTGTACGTGGCTTACTTACCATGATGTACGACGCCCTTCAACCCATGGATAATAGGATCCAGTGCAGAATTGTCCCTTGGACTGACCTACATGTAAAGGAAATATGATTGGTTAAATCTATGCCGGCATCAGACACAACAGTCTCAGTTTAATCTTCTTAAGAGAAGGAGGGAAAAATAGATGTTATCTAGCAAGCTGCTTAGGTCTCACATATACCATAGCTCTCGCCAAACACAGATTTATAACATAATAAAATCAAGTGAGGAAGTCTAAATCAAAAGAAAGAAACTTCTGAGAATACACGAGAACAGGAGAGAAATACCATAATGGTAGCAAAATTTTAAAAAGCAATGGCAAGACATTCTTTTCTTGCTTTGTTTTCTTAAAAGTAGACAGACCCTGATCAGTTAAAGTCATTGAAAGGCATCAGAGAGCAATCCATCATTGACTGATTCTTTCAATATTTTATTGTGATTGTTTATTTCTCTTTTTAGAAAAGGATCTGTTCCTTGCCAGCCTGCTCTCCCTCTAAGGTCCCTGGTTTCCTGTGTCTTATCACATACAAGGGGCATTTCTAAGAGTCACTCAAAACAGGAGAGATGAGAAAAGAGGAGAAAAGCGTTTGACGAAAAGGTGTCTCCCACCTTCCTTTCCTTCTCAGGTTTTTAATGCTCTCAATAAGTGAAGTCTCCTTGATCTTGACCATCATCCATTCTTTCCCTTAACTTTTTGATACTACTTAGCATAAATTCTTATTCCTGACCATTCTAGACGGTTAACATTCCACCAGCATATAATTTTGGTTTTTAGGTACTTTCTTGTAGACACATATTGAAGTATTTATAAGCAAAATGAAATAATGACCGGAATTGTTTCAAAATAATGCAGGAATGGATGACAGGGGAAGCGAGCAGTATGTAGATGTAACAAGGTTGGCCATTCATCAATCATTTATATGATTTAGCATGATGAGTATTAGATGAATCATGATACAATATTCTCTACTTTTGTGTATGTTTAACTTTTTAAAAATCTATCATCTGTGGTCAGTATAGCTTCTGAATTTTCTTTCAGGGATGGTATTTACTTTTAACCTACTTTTAACACTATAAACTTGGGGTATCAATGAATCTTTCAATTTGAAGTTTCATAGTCATGCAGAGGAATCCAGGGCCATCACTGGTTAAATGGTTAAATGGTTAAATTTTAAGGTAACTGAAAAATTTCCACTCTTCTTCCCTGCTTACAGTCTCCCTGTTAGGTTGCTGTTCCCAGTTTGCCCTTTTGTAGTAACATGTACTTCGCACATTTCGTTTTCTCTTCTGCTTCAGCATTTCCAGGTTAGAGCAATAGTTCTCAGCTGAAGCAAATTTTACCTATCTCCCACTCCCCACTCCTTCAGGGGACATTTGGCCATTGTCACAGACATTGTTGGTTGTCACAAGTTGGTGGTAGGGGAGGAACTGTTAGTATCAAGTGCGTAGAGTTGGGGATGCTGCTAAACACTCATAATGCTGAGAATAGACACCCCCCCACCCCCCGCAACCAGCAATGGATTATCTAGTTCAAGATAAAGTTGCAGAAGTTGAGGTGGAGTAACTGGGTTAGATGCTCTATGAGTTAACAGTGATTACACATTAATGTCTGTAACTTTGAGTGATAACTAAAGTTAAAAATGGGTGTCATTATGTATGGTGTTATGTTTACAGACTAATAAAATGTTGAGGGATTAGGTCCTGCATAGCAAACATATCACATATGGAGGTGGGACGGGATCAGTGGTTAGGAACCCAGTGTATCGGATTACAAAGGTGGAATTCTGGGAGTTGGCATGAGTGCACGTACAAACTGCCGAACAGGAAGCTCAAGCCAGAGGTTTAACATACTTGTTGAAGCACAAAACATACTTCAATGACAAAAATCCACAGAATATGCCAAAAAGAAAAAAAAATGTATTTGAACCATAGCAAATAGCTGATCAAAATTTTAAAACATGGTCAAAAACAGAATCACAACTCAAGAACACAAGAGAGTCTACCAGTAAATGGGCCACAATTCAAAAGTGGCAGAATAAAATAAGAGCCTAGAGAAAGATCCCATATCAAACTGAAGTTCCAGATGAAAAGATGGCCTCCCGTCTCCAGATTGAGTCTGGAAGAGATGTTAATGTCAGTTCAACTACTTGTACTTATTCTAATAATTGTGGGAAATGACAAAGTGGTCACAAATGCCTGCTGTTCTTGTCATATGCACCTTTGCTATTTAACTTTGCCCATCCCCCCATTAGGAGTGCTTATCAACTTCTCCACTCCTTGAAACTGGGCTTGACCACGTGGCTTGTTTTGGACAATGTGACATTAGCAAACATGATGCAGGAAAAGGTGTACATAGGACTTCAGTGCAGTATTCTCCTGTTACTCTCTGAAATCTTGACATGGCCAGGCCAACAAACCCAGGCTAGCCTACTGGAGGATGAAAGATCACATGGAACAGACACAGGTAATCTCAGCTGACATTATTCTAGACCATCCCCCCGACCCCCACACCCAGCCCCGGGCCCGCCAGCCTGCCAACCACGCAACAGGAGAGTCAGTCTATTTGAGATCACCCAGCTTCAGAAGAACCTGCAGTCTGCCAGACACCAGCCAAGCTGGCCCCAGCAGGAAGACCTGATCAGTCATCCTATGGAGTCACAAGGTATTTAAATAACCGTTTTAAGTAATTAAGGTCATTTATTACAGAGCAAAAGTTAGAGTTTCTAAGAGTGTATAGAGATGGAAGATAAGGGACAGGCTAAGATATAAATAATTTTTCTAACCAATACACTTTGGTTTGTCCTAAATGTTTCTCAGTGAGATTCCATGTCACAAGACACAGCATTTGCTGTCAACCTGGTAACTCATGTGCTTGCCCTTCCTCTACCATGGGAACATTTCACAGATACTCTGATTTTTGATCCCCCATGCAGGGAACTATTTTGTATTCATGGGAACCTTTAAATGCAGTAGTCTTATTTGATGAAGTGAAAGCTCAAAAAAGTGTTCCTAATCCTCCATAACTACATCTACCAATAACATCTGTAGCCCTTGGAAGAAGAAAATAACCAGACAACCTAACCCAAGTTTAATTTCTGGTCGGTCACTTCTAACTACAGTGTATCTCTGTCTGTGTCCGATTACTCAGACCTAGTCTCATTGAAGCTCATGGGCCTGACCCCAGATTCAAAGCGAGCCCGTAGATGGAAAGCCTTCTGTAGTGTTGGTTTGTGTCGCTGGGGCTGAGGAAATGGGTGAAGAGAAAAGGAGAGAAAAGTGGAGATTATTGGATGGTCAAAGTAACTTAGTAATAATACTAAGCTCATTCTCTACTTGATGTCTTGGTTCAAAAATTCAGGGCAGAAATCTAAACAGCATGTTAAAAAAGATTTGTTACAGTAATGCATGACCTTAACTGAAATAATTCCTTTCAATCACTGCTGCAATCAATTTGCCATTTAAAAAAATTCATGGACATAAACTAAGTAATATGGGCAGCTTTAAAATATGCCTACAGTCAAGAATAAACCCATGTTTACAAATTCTGGTCTCTGTCCAGGGTAGAAGGAGGCCAAGCAACAGGGAAAAAAATGGAATTCTGAGTCAGAGACGAACCCTACAGCTTCAGTGATCTCATCTGCAAAATGGGGATATAATCTCATAATGCTGCTATGAGATTAAATGTGTAAAGCTCGGGAGTATAATGCTGAGTACAAATGCAGCATTCAATGGGGCAGACATGCCTGGGAAACAGCTTGATCCAAACACTCAAATTTAAATCAATGTCAAACAACAGCAATTTCATCCTGAACTTCTCTCAATGTGCTTAGCTCTAAAAGTAATACCTACTTGAGTTCAAATTTCAAAAAATCCAAATTCATGTTTGATTTTGATATCCACTCAATTTCCAAATATACTACTCCTTTTAAAGCCACATGCTGAGTGTTCCTAGCTCTTGAAATTTTCTTCCTTCCATTTTAAGATAAAAGGAGTTATGCAGCAATACTGGGAAGGCAGCAATTGCACAAATGAGCTTAAAATGGATGAGAAGAAATGGGGTTCCCCTTCCCCTTCAGTCTGTGCTCTTGTTGCAAAACCTAGCATCTGACACTTCCATTTTAGAGCAGCTTTCATGGCATTAAGTCATCCTCAAAAAGGAGGCATACAAATGTAGCATAGGACTCTGAGTTAAAGCTTCTGAGTATCTTTAGATATTACTAAAATACACAAAGACATCAGTAATACAGGTAACCAAGACACATAGATTTGGTCAAAAGACCAAATTTATGTAAGTGCTGATGAAATCTAAGCTTTATAAAATTTCCTTTCCAAATAATAGCCAACCCATAAGGATTCAACCAACTATCAAATTAATAATCAAGTTATCAGTAATCTCTAGAGATGCTTCTATAATCCAGGCTCTAGAGGAGGATCTGTGTCTTTCATGCTTTTGAAGCAAAATGAAATGGAGGCATAAAAGGCCTGGTCAGACTGCCCGTGTCTGCATTCAGATATGCACTGCCATTTACTTTTCCTGCTCACGGTGCCATTTGGCCCTTGACTTGGATCCTAATAATCTTCAATCCATCAAGTCCTGGCCACCTGCTAAATAGGATGTCCAAGAAAACCTACTTGCCTTGAATCCGATATCGCCAGCTGCTCCTATAGGCCTATAAATGTCATGTCCAGCCAATATCCTCTTGTGGGAAAAGGATTTATGCCCGCGGAGGGTGATGGCTACACCATTAACCACGGCTGCAGAGGCAAGTGAAAAACAGCAGGACTAGAGGCTTCCTGAACTGCCGAGAGATGCTCTATCCTCCCTGATGGTGAGCAGATAACTGCGTGTTCAGAAGCTACAATGTCTGCTCAGGACAAGGGCCAGAACTTCTCATCTGTTCTGATTTTTGATCTGATTCTCCTCTCCTTCCATGGCTCTTACCTAAAGGGCCATATAGTCAGGATGCTGCAGCTTCTTTTGTTCTGACTTGAACACCTTGGCTACCAGTGACCAGAGTTTGGTTCAAGCTGCTGTCAAGAACTTCCTGGCA